GAGAAGATCGCAGATGATAGAGATGTGCCAGGTAAGCGCAAAGGAGCTCCTCCGGGAGGAAAGCTGACGACACAAAGCACACGTCTGGGACTTCACATCCTGTCTACTCCTGGCCCGCAGACATCTTCTTCAGCTATCCATGCGACCACGTCACTCTCAGACTCCCCGGAGGGGAGGGGGGGGGGGGGGCTCGGTGAGGAGAGGGAGGGAGTAGGTGTTCAATTGTGATGGCAGATCGAAGAAAGGATTCCTACTCCTCCCCCTCCTGAGATCCCGAAGGTCAAGACGCTCTACGATGTTTGGATGGAGAAACAGGTCTGAGGAAAAGATGTGGATATGTGACATGATGCTGTTTGAGTGTGAAGATGTTGGGCAAGGCGTGCGGGAGTTGACTTGTTATGTATGTGATACGATCACATGGTGACTGTCAAGTATGTTTGAGTCGTGGTGATACTCGCGAACTGATGTGTGTGGTGTGAAATTCATCTGGAAGTCTTCAAATGCTTGTGGGAGTATTTCAAATGTTGTCGAGAGGCTTTCAAAGCAAGTCGAATTCTCTTGACCCGTCGATACCTAGGGGAAGAAGCATGCGCAGAAGCTTCATAGGGATCACGACCGACTCGTTCCTATTCATCCCCGGTCCGAGTTGCTTCTACGAGGACGGGGAGGAGGAGGAGGAGGAGCAGGGGAGGAGCAGCAGCAGCAGGGGGAGGGGGAGGGGGAGGGGGAGGGGGAGGAGGATGCTGGCAGGGGTAAGGGAGGGGAGAAGAAGGATTTGAGGGAACAAATGCAGAGGCAAGAGGAGATCGAGGAGGAAGAGGAGGAAGAGGAGGAGGTCTAAAATTCTTGCTTGCAGAGCTCGAAACATTCGGCAGGAAGACAAGACCAACATTGACCTGAGTGGAGCTGTGTTGAGGTGAACATGATGCAAAAATTTCTATCACGATAACTCGGATGATCATTGTGATGGTGGCAAGCATATCTTGAGACATGAAGATAGAATTGCCATGATGACGATGACGCTGACGACTATGATGATGATGATGATGATGATGATGGAGATGATGACGACGACGACGACGACGATGACGATGATGATGATGATTGTGGTGTCTATTGTGGATCATGTATGGGTCGGTAACGGTCGTGGTGACATCGCAGTGGAATTGTCAAGCCCAACGAAGTCCTCAATCACATGTCAGCCTATTATCCCATCGAGATGGGCAAGGTAGACCTTTATCCTCTTTCCTCCATCTCTACTCCTCTCCCAAACTCCTGCTACATCTCCCTCCTCTCTGCGACTCCTCCATCCTCCCTTGTTCCTTGCTCCTCCTCCTCCTCCTCCTCCTCCTCCTTCTCCTTCTCCTCCTCCTCCTCCTCCTTCTCCTCCTCCTTCCCCTTCTCCTCTTCCTCCTCCCACAACTTCGCTCCTCCCTCCAGTCACTCTTGCAATTCTTCTTCTTCCATTCCTCCTGCTCTTCTCCACAGTTTTTCCTCACAAGCTCTCATCCTTTCAGGTCATTGATAAGATCGCGACAACACTTCATCAAGACATCTCAGTCTTCACCATGCAAGAGGCTGTCGCAGAGGTCTGCCATCCTGCCCCCCCTTTCCCCCCTCCTCTGCTCTGCTCTGCTCTCCTCTCCCCCTACCCAATCCTCTTCTCCTCTCCTCTCCTCTCCTCTCCCCCTACCCCAATCCTCCTCTCCTCCCGTCCCCGCTCTTGTTTCGCCCCTGTCCCTCCTTCCTCCCTCTCCGCCGCCCCACCAACCTCCTGATCTCCCCCCTCTCTCGCTCTCTCTCCCTCCTCTCTTCCTCCTGATCTGTGGTCTGCCTGTTGAATCTCACCAACAATTGATGTCTCTCCTCCAGCTGCTGCAGAAGAAGGGGCTAACAGAAGTCAAGTCTGATCTTTTCATGCTCAAGTCTGGAACGACGGGTAAGGGAGGGAGGGGGGAGACAGGGTGGTTGGGAACACGGGTGGAGGAAGAGGGGGACGAGGACGAGGTCGGCAACGAGGAAGAGGTCGGGAACGAGGACGAGGACGAGGACGAGCACGAGCACGAGCACGAGCACGATTGTTGGTCTAACTCCTATTGCAGGCGAGAAGGTGGATGACTGGAGGAAGAGAATGTTTGTGATGAGAGAAAACTTCCTCTGCTTCAACTCGGTGAGATGAAGATGAGCACGAGCTTCGGGAGAGAAGGACACGGGAGAGGAGAAGGAGGAGGAGGGGCGAAGATAGCGGGAAGGAGAGAGGGTTGTTGGATTCTGATTGGGCAAGCAGGAGAAGCAGGAGGGTGTTCTGAAGAGAGTCGCGGATATCAAGGGAGTGACCGACTGTGAGGTCAAGACCATGGGCCCCTTCAGCTTTGGGATCATCCTATACCGCGTCAATGAAGGTCTACCCTGCCACTCCTGCTGCTGCTGCTGCTGCTGCTGCTCTTGCTCTCTCCTCGTCCTCGTCCTCGTCCTCGTCCTCGTCCTCGCTCCTCGTCCTACTTGTATCCTTTTCCTCCGACCACTACTACACCTTTCCTCCTCCCCCTTCCTCCCCCCCCCCTCCCCAGGTCCTTCTCGCCCTTCTCACTTTGCCTTCCACGCTCTCCTTGCTCGACCTCAATTGCTGGTGCCGCAGGAATCGTCGAGTTCGTCATCAAGATCGCAACCGACGACGAGAGCGACTTCCGCATGTGGCTGATGAGCATGGCGACAGTCTCGGAGGCCGTCTCACGGGCGTACCTCAGGGCGTTTCCAGCAGAGGACATACAGATGTAGATTAGCATCCACTGGTGCCGTTAACACAGACTCTTGTGAGATGTCGTAATGGAGTGAGTTCTGCTGATAGTGCTCTGATTGTATAGCGTCTCTTCACTGCCGCACCGACTTGCGACACACAATCATGATCGCGCGTGTACCATGTACCACATCGCTCCTGCGATTCCTGCGCGCCACGGGTCTCAACGAGGAGGAAGAGAAGGAGGGACAGCGGGAGCAGGTACCTATATGCAGCAGGAGGGGATGGACGGGAGTGCTTCCTATCATCACGTGATCTTCAAGGGCACTGTTCCAGGCGATGGGTCAGGAAATCATGACATGGAGAAAGAGAGGAGGAAAACGACGAAGAGAGGAAGGCAAAGTTGTAGAGGATGAGAACGAGAAGGAGGACGACGACGAAAGGAGGCGAGGTTAGTCGAGGAGGAGGCGGACGAGGAAGAGGTCGGCGAGGACGAGGACAAGGTCGAGGACGAGGACGAGGACGAGGACGAGGATAGAAATCGCCAGTGAACTCACCTTCCCAGTCGGTTGCCTCCCCTCCCAAACACCCTTCAGATTTCAAACATCAGCAGCAGCCGAGGGGCTCATCCAGCCTCTTACCTTCCCTGCCCTCTATCCAGCTGCCCCCCCACGATAAAGGTGTCGCTCATGTTGAAATACCTGACACCGTCCTGCTGATCAAGAGCAGCCTCTTTCTCCTCCGCCTCTCCCTCCTCACACCCTCCCTCCTCTGCCACTCCTCCTCTGCCACTCCTCCTCTGCCACTCCCTCTCCTCTGCCCCTCCCTCTGCTCCGTCCCTCTCTCTGCTCCGTCCTTGCCGCTCCTCCGTTCCTCTCCCCTTCCTCCGTCTCTCATCACCTTCTCAGGGTGGGAAACATCCTTGGGATCCAAACCCATCCCAGCCCAGACAGGATGCCACATATCTGTGTTCCCTCATGTCAGAGGACCCAGCGGAGGATGGGTGCAAGAGTCTCTACCTGCAGGTCGAAATCGCTAGCAACGATCTGTCGCTGCGCAACCGACATGTCATGGCGGCATATCAGCGAGGAAACTTCAGGCACCTGCATCCTCTCCAGCTCCCCGTAGCCGTGCGCGAGCGAGAACTGTACCCCAAAGTTGAGCCAGCATGTGAAGGGTCTCAGGACTCCTGCACAGGCATGATCACTTGAGACTTCCTCGCCCTCCTCCTCTTGCCCGGCAGCTCGAACATCAGCCGATAGCGAGAGCTTGCATCGTAGGATGATACTACCTGCAGCAGCTATCTCACCCCTCACCTGACAATATGAGGAGATGCTACCTGCAACGCTGCGCACACACCACCGAAACCGAGGCCACCCAACATGGAGCTCATCTACATATAGAAAGCAGCAGTGAGAAGGAGGGGAGAAGGGGAGGGAGGGGAGGGAGGGGAGGGAGGGAGGGATGGCCCTGTCAATTCCAGACATCAACAAACTTCGACTGCTCACCGATGGAGGTTCCCTATTCAACAACACAGTCTGGGGCAGCGAAACTCAGCAGAGAGACAGAGGGGAGGGCATACTCAAACCTTTCCAACAGCAGAGAAGATCCTCAGCACGTTGGCGGACACACACACCGCCATGGTCTGGGCCAGAAACCTCCAACCTTCTCCCTTCTCAAGCAGAAGGCCTTGCAGGAAGAAGTTGGACATGTCGTTGATCATGTGGAGCAGATCTCGATGCAGGAACGAAGGAGATATCAGCCGGTACATCTCACCATACTCCGTGATCGCTCGATGGTGAAACCCCCATACCCTGTAGGGCAGCGTCTGCCCGTATACATACGCATGCCCAGCGATCAACAGGAGGGTTGCCGGACAAGCCTTGAGCGGATCCCCGATGTGCATGACAGCTGGAGCTGTCTGCACCGTACTCTGAAGCACACTCTGCCATATCCTCGGGTCGTCCATCGCGCTGGCCCGGAAAGGTACAACATGAGGCATGATGGGGATGCCGGCCATGCGCAGGCTCTCCTGAGGCTGCTGTCCTCCTCCCGCTACGCTCTCCCTCAGATCCCTCCATGACTGCTCGATGCTTCTCTGCGTAGATGCAGCCCATCTCTTCACGCCATCTGCTACATCCTCCAGCGGCGCCAGGCCGCTCCTGTACCTGTCGGACGCATTCGTCTCCCCTGGCAACAGCGGCATGGCGAACCCGATGAAGTCCGCCTCAGGGAATAGATTTTTTCTTTTGGGCCTTCAAAGTTTTTTGGCGGGATGGCGAATAGTGCGACAACGAAGGACGCGGATGGCTGGGAGCGAACAGCGGAGGAAGGAGAAGTCGATGAGAGGGATTACTCGAGAGAATGCATGCAAGAGGATACAATGCTGAAAGCAGGTATGAAAGATGCGAAAAGATGCATCGAAGTACTTGAGTATGCGGAGGGAAAGATTTGCAACAAACTCAAAGTACATTGAGCAGAAGCGGAAACTCCTTCAAACAACGGGAATGAAGATCCCAAGGAATGCCTTGAAATGCAATTGTTTCTCATCAGCAACATGAGATCAAAAATCAGGTTGCTCTTGTGAGAAATGTTTTGCTTTTTCTTGTGATAGGAAATGGACTGGTTCAGGACAGCCTTGGTCGAGATCAACAAAAAGAAGATAAAAGATTGCGCCTTTAACGAAGATGTAGAGCAAAGCACTAATTGTCCTCTTGAGCCCTCAGAGCAGTCAAGCTCATTTCTGGACATCGATAAGTTCATGGAAGGGTTGCTGGAAACAATCGAACCTTCACTCGAAGCACTACTCTGCATTCCCGACAATTCGTTGAACACGGAGAAAAGTGTGAACGATGATCAAGTTCAGAACTTGAAACGGTTTGATGCAAGAGACTTCAGCAGATGTATGTCCTTTGGATCTAATCTCTGACCAGGTATGCTCAAGAAATAAATTTTAATCTGCAAAAAGAAAGACATAGATCGAAGGAAAATCTAAAGTTCTTGGAAGCTGCACAAGATGAAATAACTCGACAGTCCACTGAAATTTTGTCTTGTCAAAGAGATTTGACGATGTTAAGGTCCCAGGTCATGAATCAACAATTTGTCCTCAAGATCTCTTGATGGTGCATGTTTGACAGATTGCGCGTATGGCACAAGAATTTGACCTGATACTCGAGAAAAATGAACAAATGCATGGCATTAAAAAGCAGCTGATGAAGCATGAGAAACACCTGAGAAACATCGTATAAAACTGCATTACAGCATTTTTGTGTTTAATTTTGATCGGTGAGTGCAGGTCGAATGCCAATACAGCAAAATCGCCATGCTAATTTCAGAAAACTCAGTACTTCACGAAGAAAAATCGAAGTTGAGCTCTGAAATAGAAGAATACCAGAGGAAAATTTATGATCTGTCTCAGAAGGTTGAGGTGTACACCAAAGATAATGACAGGAATGTTGCGAACATCTCAACATTGCTTGAGGAAAAAGAGGTCCTTGTTTGCTTTTGAACATTGCTCACTAGATTGAAATGAATGCTTAGCACTTGGTGAGTATTCTCCGCGATGTAGAAATAGTCAGCACTGCAGATGCAGCAAGACTGCTCTCAAGATTGGAGGTCATTCCGGAGCAGGATACAATCAAGTAATTCACTTTGTGTGTGTGTGTGTATCTCTGTGTGTATTGTTGTTGTTGAAGTGATTTTTTTCCTTTCCTGGTACTTGAAGAGAAAACAGCAACTCTACGCCTATCATCACATCAGAAGTGAATACATCTCCTTGTGCAAACCAAGAAAAGCAAACTCAAAAGCTAGAATTCGGATTGTCTGATGCAACTGACAACAAGGATAGCGAGGCGGAAGAAACAAAAAGTCTGGACTATAACAAGATGTTAGACGATCAAGATGAAACAATGTTGGTTGATGATCAAATATCTGAACCAAATGAGCTTGCCAAAGGCTCAGATAATCCAGTGGAAAATCATGGAGATATCGCAAAAATTGATTCGTCTGATCTGCAAAATGCATGCTCAGATCTTGTGGAAACATTGCCTGGAACTGGTTGTAACAAAACAACAGATAAGCAAGAATCAACAGTTGATCAGAATCTCGAATTGAATCTCGAATTGAATCTCGAAGCCATTGATAATGCTGAAGAGAAATCTCTTGCGCTAGGAGTAGTGGCGGTTGAGCCGCTACTTACAAATTCTCAGCACGATACTTCGAACGCTGGAGCAAATGACATTGGCGTGCAGGAACCCACTGTAGTTATCAGTGATAACTCACACTCAGCAAAAGAATCTCAGATTGCTGTAGAAAATGATCAAGCTGAAGGCATAGATTCTGGAAAGAAGCGAGAGGATCCAACATCAGGAAATCACTCGCCTCGAAATATGACAACGGTTCCGAGTTCACCGGACACCATTAGAAAAAGGAAAGCTGTCGATATGGAAGATAGCGTTCTCACAGGTCAAAATCTACTACATTGAATCGCTTCTTATGCCCCTATGTGATTTCGATTCCAACAGGCGCAGATGTCAGTAATGAGAAAGAACCAATATTGAAGGTTGGCCAACAAGAATCCTCAAGTCAAAAGCTATTCGTTTGCAAAGATGCTCGTCTAGACGGTGACGAAAAAAAGATGTCTACCAAAACTTTTGAGGTCTTCAACGACAACGGGGCGGTTACTCAAGATGAACCTGTGGTTGATTTTCAGTCCCTGCAGCAAAACGAAGTATCAAGTTGATCTCGAGATGATGTTCTTTTGATGCTGATGGTGCACTCAGATGTTGTTGATAGCTGAGTCGGAGAGGATGCTTCACGATAGTGCAGAGCAGCAAGCAGGGACATAGAGGCAAAACAACCACTCTTGGACGTGTCTAGTGGACAGAAACACGGTGTTTTGAAAATTTGTCTGTATTTTTGCAGAAGACAACATGCGCCGGTTAGAAGCATATCGCTTGTTTTTGATTCGCTGTGGTAAGGAAGCAGGTAGTCCGATGCTTATCTTCGACTCTTGCCTTGTGGTCCAATGGGTCCAGGAGGTCCAGCGATGCCTGGAGGTCCAGCCGGTCCTTCAGGAAATCGAATAGTCAGAAGAAACCACAGCTCAAAAAGATTCTCTTGTCATATCACAGCGAATGACTTCAAAGATCATTGCACAGGCTGTGCTACTCTGACTACTTGCTTGCTTCCCTAATCTCCCCTGACCACAACCAACCAGAAGAATCTTCAGTCTTAGAGGCGGCGACGAGATCGGCCTTGTGGGCCAATGGGGCCGGGGCCTCCAAGAATTCCCGCAGGACCATGGGGTCCTAGGGAGCAAGGACAACACAACACAGAGAAAGAGGGTAGCGTTCAGTTTCGAAAATTCGCATCACTCCGCACAAGCCAGTCTTCCTTCCCTCCCCCATGAGAGATCCAATGGAATGACTCGTTACCTGGAGGTCCCTCGGGTCCCTCGGGTCCCACCAATCCCTCTGGTCCAGGGGGGCCAGGATCTCCGACAGGTCCAGGTTCACCTGTGTCAACGTAAGAGGTAGAGGCACAAAAGAAGCAAGCTCTTCACCTGGTTCCCCTTGTGGTCCTTGTTCTCCAGGCTGGCCATGGGCTCCGTTCACACCATTCTTACCAGGGGTTCCAGCAATACCTCTTGGGCCTTTAAGAAAGTATCAAAAAAACACCTTAGCATATCACACATGACGATACCTTCTGGTCCGACCACACCAGGAACCTTGGAGATTCGGTAATCGATGTCCTCGGTTTGAGACTGCACAAATACAATTAGAGAAATGTGTCATGCAGAACCTTGCCACTTACATCGATGGATCGGAGAACCTCTCTGGCTTGAGCCTTGACATATCGTCGCAGATCAGCCATGCGAGCATTGATTCTGTACGTTCGCTCCTTCGTTCTCTCGAGCGACCTCTTCAACCTTCTTTGTTTCTGCAGCAATCATCAGTCTCCACAACAGGATGCTTCAAGGGATCAGAACCTCTTGCTCCTGCTTCTCCTTCTTCTCCTCTTCAGTCAAGTGCTCCTCCTCCTCCTCCTCCTCGTCTGCAGGCGAGTCGCTCACCGAGTCCTGCGATGGAACATTTACCAGTTGAACTCAAGGAGACGGAGAAGCAAAAGTCACCTGGCTGCCAGGAAACTGCATAACAACGCCGTTCGGGGGGGATTGGGCTCCACCAGAGGGGGCATTCACTGCTCCAGTTACCACCTGAAGGCTACATCACCAAGTCTACTGTTGTAACAGCGACCCCTACATAGCTGGGAAGCTGGGTGAACTTGGCCTGATTCGCAAAGGCCAGTTGTTGAGAGGGAACAGTGTAGTAAGCCTGCTGGTAAAGAGCACTGCTACCTCGGGTATCCGATTCCTGTACATGGAATTAGTTGAATTATTTCCCCGTTCGTTTGTCTCGAACCTGGGTTATCAACAAAACAAAGGCAATTGCGAGGGTTGCCACAAAGATCGATGCACCAACTACCAGGATGCGCCTGTGATCGAAGATGTCATGCGCATGAACAAACTATTTCCCGGAATTCCACACTATGCGTGAGAACCACAAGTCTAGATTGCATAGAAAGGTGATTAACATCAATAGCATGAGTTACTCTTCCCAAAGAAGACATGTTGAGACTCTTGCTCTGCATGTTCCGATCTTATGAACATGCTGCCCTTTCACGTCTCCCCATCACTTCAGCCTTACCGCTGCATGGCGCCGTTCCCCATGAGCCGCCGCGAAGAGACAATTGGTCGTTACGGGCGTTACGTAGAGATGTTACGCCTGTTACAAAGACGTTTCCGACCGTACGCCGGTGACCGGGACTCGGGCCCGGCCCGGGCCGGCCGGCCGGGCGGCCGCCCCGGCGGGCCGGCCTGATCACATGATACCTAGTACGCGGTGCGGGAGTGGACCGTACAGTAAACTTGATACCGTAGTACTAGGCTATGAAATACTGAGGATCGCAGAAATTCAGCTGAGTCCGCTCAAGAAGCACGCCGCGGCCCGGCGGCGGCGGCGGGGCCCGCCCGGGCCCGGGCCGCGCGCTGAGGGGAGGCTGGCGCCGCCGGGCCCGGGGCGCCCCCCGTCGGACCTAAGTGTTTCGACTGAGTCGGAGTTCTCCGATTCCGAATCACTGTCAACACGGTCGGAGCCGCCCTACTGAGCTGACTCACTTGGAGGATCACTGCGGATGATGCGGCGAACCGTGAACACTGTGACTGAGTGCGCAGCCGAGTCACCGTCCGCCGCACAGTGGCACGGTGACGGTGCGGCGGGGCCGGCACGCCGGGCGGACTGGCCGCAGTCGGACGCGGGGTCGCACCGTACGGTCACGGCTTCCGGCGCGCCGACGGGGAGAGGCTCCCGGGCGTCAACAACTTGACTTGACAGCCACGGCCTCCATGTTCAGTGCAGCTGAGCGGGTACGGTAAAGCTTCGAAAGAGAGGATTTACAATGATGAGTCAAGAATAAAAACTAACGATACGGTAATCAGGATACAAGTCATCAAATCTCTAATACTGAACTGTGACCGTAAGTATCGAATTACGGTGGCATCATGCAGTCAAGCCATTCGCAAATCTAGTAAAATTGCCAAGTTCAAAAAAAGGTACACACTGACACCGTCAGTGACATCATACCCTGCCACTGAGAGCATTACCAATGAAACACATCTGAGCTGTTCAGTGTCAAGATTGTCCATGGTTGTCAAGTGGAGAAGATTCAGAGTTTGATGCAGGATTGTGATTGCAATCGTGCAGCAAGTCGTTCTTGCTTCCTTCCAAAAGGCCCATCAAAGCATGCCATTGCGATGTTTGCCGAGGCTGTACCGGGGATAGTAAAGGACCGTTTTGGTTGGAGACACCATCACCATGCTCGCTACATTCGGAGCTGTCAGGAGCAACCGACGCAATACTTTCGACGTCATCATGGAAAGCGTTCATGTCCTCCGGCCCGACAGACAAGAGGCGATAGTTCTGCAGATACGAGATCCCATTCGGCCTCAGGCGATCGCGCGCACGGATGAGCTTGATGCGGCTGAATTGATACGTTGTTGCGAGCAAGAAATCCCTCTTGTCTTCATCCTTTTCTTGTAGCCCGCGTGTTCCGCGAACTGGAACGATGCCAAGCTGGCGGAACAATTCGTAAACTTGTTGCGTAGGCCTTTTTATTGTTTCTCGTCCATTCAAGCGAACCCAGTACGGATTGGAGCTGATGAAATCCTTGACTTTGTGGTTAAATTCCGGTTGTGTTGCGGTCATCACGGTAAATCCAAATACGGAAACCTGAGACTCGTCATTACTTGTGACAAACTGAACAGTCCCCTCGGCGAGCATGTCTTGCAAGAATCTCATCATACTGATGATTCTGGTGCATGATGTCTGTTTGACATGTATCCCAACTTTCCTGTGAACATAATTGACGTAATCTTCCGCATTTGATGCCCCAGGGATGTAGGGGTAAATTGGTCTCTGGCGCTTTGATGCATCCAGGATCTCAATCAGAGGAGGTGCGATGGTGGTACCATTCCCTTCCTCCTTGGCACGGCCATCAGCACTTGAAGACGTTGCTACAGAGAATGGATGAGAAGGGTTGAAGATCGTGCATGAATCGGGGTTGGAAGAGGATGAGACGCGGGCTGGGGCCGCCATGAGCACCTTGTCATAAGCCCGCCCTTGCATGCCGCCCTGAGAATTTCGTTCGTGGGTAGCAAGCTAAGAATAGGGTAGGGGGGTACGATGTAATTGGAAGGATGAGGGGTCCTTGGAAATAGAGGAGTGTAAAAGATGGGTGGGGTGATCTTTGAAGAGGGAAGGGGTAGGTACTTTGTAGTATCAAAACTTGGATTGAAGTAAGGTTGAAGCAAAGGACACCGGTGTCAAAGTACGGATACCGGAAAAATTGGGGGTAGGGTAGTGAATGTGGGGGGTGGTGAAAAACACTAAAAAGGCAGCCCTACCATCATCCAAATGCTCTCAAAACGCAGGGAGGTGGAGGGGTGATGATCAAAATCTGACAAAATTGTCTATGATATCAAGTCTGCCTCAGAAATATTCTCATAAATAATTTAAGACAGCAAAAATAATTAGGAGAAGAGAACTGATATCGAGGGCAGCAAGTCCCCCGAAAGATGGCTGCTGGGGAACAAGGGAGAAACAAGGAGGACGGAGGAGGGAGGAGGGAGGAGGGAGGAGGGAGGAGCACGAACAAGGAGGAGAAAACCAAAAAGAGCAGTGCATTGTTACGTGATAGGAGGGGAAAGGGCTAGACTCCGTGTGCGAGGAGAGAGAGAGGAGCAGAAAGCTTCTCCGTCTAACCACGAAATTGTTCGTAGGGTGTCGTTTTCTTCTCTTCAAGGTGTTCAACCCAGAGACCAGATGCAGACATTCCATGGTAAGAAGCTCACGAGAGCTGGTGACAACGAGCAGAGGCACCCGGCCACTGTTGCCCGGACACAGGACGTCGCTCAAGAAAGACCAGCGCAACCGTCGCAAGCCTTGAAGGTTGAGCCATCAGGAGAGGATAAGCTGGATCAGGAGCTGCAATCTACCAAGTGCAAAGTCAATGAGGAGAAAGAGGAGCTCGAGCATCACCATGACATCGTCGGAGTCAGGTAGATGCCCCTTGCATGTGTGGTCCGTGGATCATTGCGGACAGGACGTTAGCGCAGTTGGGAAAGTCTATGAGTCTGGCTGGCCCCGGCCATGCTCAGAGGATCAGAGAGAAGGCAGGTCCTGCATGCCCTCCTGCATGTTTGTGACGTCGGCGATCAGGTCAACACCGAAGCTATCGAGACGCTCCATGGCTTCGTCGTGATCAGACGGGAGCTGACGAAAGCAGATCACACTCTTGTCCTCCCTCCCTTCAACATGTTCAATGAAGCCGTCAGGTCTCCTTGAATATCAAATCAAGTTTGTGCGTGTGAGCACAACTTGGTAGATCATACTTGTACTGGAGAATCCTGGATGTGACCATCCTCCGAGCCTTGCAGGCATGAGATGTTGATTTCTCAATTCTTGAGCCATGAATGATTCCGCTCACAGCGATCGCAAGCAATCAACTCAGATCACAGAAGTGAAGTAGTCGAGGTGATAGACACGATCTCACACATCCTGAAGACTGATACATTGGGGAGGAAGGCCGATTTTCAGACAGAAATCATCTGCATTAAGGGGAAGGAGAAAACATTCTGTGCCTTATTGCCTGTGATCAAAGAGAACATTCTTCGCTTTGCTACATTCTTCTGAACGCAGCACAGGCTTCGGTGATGGGTGATGGAAACTGCTGCTTGCATGCATGCTCTGTGGCCATGTGGGGCATTCAGGTCAGAGACGAGGAACCTGTTTCCTGTCATTCCGTTATTGACACAGAAATCCAACTAGGATCGGCTAAGCACACTGAGGAAGGCTCTTTCCATGATGTTGAAGAAGCAGAGCGAGCTGTTCTATACTCGTTGGAAGGCGCAGGTTATACCCCCGTCCATGGAATAGACAAGGCCATGACTTGCAGGTAGGAAGAATTGTGGGATGCGGCGGACGCCGAGACTCTGGGATTAGAAAAACCGATCGAGCGATCGGATGGCCAGTGGCTTCAAGAGTGGAACGAGATTCTCGACAGTGCTGACAGGTCTGATGCTTGCTGGTTCTGATTCTGCTGACTGGAGGTCGGAAGGGACCAGGCGCACCTCACTCACATACACCTCTACGCGCTTGCACACATCTTGCAACGGCCGATCATCGTCTTCTCCAGCAAGTTGACGGAGCACTCAGTGTGCAGGCTGCGAGGCAAGCAGAGTAAGTCGATCTCTTGCCATCTCAGCCTTTCACGCAGGGATTTATCTCCCGGCAGAGTTCAGAGATATTGATAGCAGTTGGCGGGGAGAAAAGGTCCCTTTGATCCTTGCTTACGAATCGAGCCATTTTGTGAGAGCCCTCTTTGCTACCCTGTGTGTATGCTGCCGTCACAGCCTGCTGTTTGCTTCAGGTTCCCTTGGTTTGTCATCTCAAGAGCTGGCCTCCTTGTCGCAATGATGAGTGGCCTCTGTTTCCGATCGAAGTCCTTACGAGCTTTCCTTGCCCGCGATCCCTCACACTCCCTCACTGCAGATTGAAGGCGAACTGCTCCCCGTCCTCTTTGTGGATAAGAACAAGCTGTACGAGCGATACCCGAACATTGTGGAAGGTGAGACAGAATGATGTTGTTGGCGTCAAGTAAGGAGTTTCACCGCGTTCAGCATTGAAGAGCTTCATGTCCTGCGAGAAGCTGCCGGATGGCCCGTTGTGTGTGAAGTACATGATCAGGAAAGATGATACCGCCACAAGGTATCTTGCACGGCACCAGGTAAAAGCAGCTCGCTGACTGTGTCATGGTGAAGATGTCAGTTTGAGAGCGAGCTATCGACTCACACTCTCAGCATGATAGAGGTAATGAAGGATGATGATGATGATGATGATGATGATGATGATGATGATGATGATGATGATGATGATGATGATGATGATGATGATGATGATGATGATGATGATGATGATGATGATGATGATGATGATGATGATGATGTCAGGAGGAGGAGGAGGAGGAGGAGGAAGAGGAGGAGGAGACATGTTGTTGAGCTTCTCTAAATGTTCTGCAGGACTTCCTGACGGAATGTCACGCTGTCGTGACCCAGTATGTACGGAAAGAACCCTCCAATGTTGAGCAGAGGGAGGAAGGAATACCCACAAGCCCTTCCCTCCTTCGTCAGGACAGTTTGCTTGCAAGGCAGCTACAGGTGACCCAACATGTCATGGTTGAAATTTGTTGATGTGAGACTCTTGTAATGTTGCTGCGATGTCGGGGTGAGATGAATGTGCTGACATGTGTTTCTCCTGTTTGGATTAGCAAATGTACGATGAGGAGCTCCTCAACGATCAGACAAGGATTCCTGACGTGAGGTTTCGAGACTGATGGGATTAGGATCTTACTTGCTGGCAGGAATGGAGATCGACAATCGACATCTAGGTGTTTATTATACACGGTTCATGTACAAATCAAAATACAAGGGCATTTGTTGTAACGTACAAGATGGTGGTATCTGAGCAATCAGTCAGTTCTATTGCATCGTTTGCTGTGCTGCTTTCAGAAACGAGCCAAGTGTGCAACTCATATCGATAAGTCGTCATCAGCATGGATAAGAAAGATAACGCGTTAAGATAACTATCATAGTTGCAAATGATGCATGGAAGACCACACAAGCGTGCTTGTTGTCCTCACCTGCACCACACACGCGGCGGCTGTGACTAGCTGTGACCTTGCTAGAAAGCACACGAGTCCTGCAAACCATTCAGACAGAGTCAGGGCCAACGATCTGCAGTCATGCCACAGCCTCCTCCTGCCCATGTGCTGTCTGCATCCTCCTGTTCTCTCCCAAGTTCCTCTCGCCTGCCGTCTGCTTCCAACCTTCTCATCCATAATCACTGTTCCCTCCACCCTGTCGCTCGCGCCTCTGACAGGCTAGCCCCCCAGGACATAGCTCGGTCATAGCTGTAATACCCCAAGGTCCTATCCCTTGTTCACTAGGGGGCTCTTCAACAGGACTATTTCCTGGGAACCTAATTAAAAATAATCATCTTCTTGCTGTTGGGCAGACTCAGTGCCGCGCCGCAGTGCACTGCAGCCAGTGCGGCGCGGCGCGGCAACTTGCAAGTTGGACCGCCGTTCAACTGTGACTCGCCTACGGTACCGTCGTCCGACTCGGTGGCTTCACCGTAGTCGGTGACCGTCGCGGCGCCGCGGTCACTGGGCCGTGCGAGGAGGAGAGCCGCGGCGCGGCAGTCACTGATCGCCGATTCAATCATCATCGGATGCCATGATGTCTGCCATCAGTCGGAATTCCAAACGGCGTACGGTACGGTAGTACGGTGTTCTCGGTAACAAACTCAGGCTTCCGATCCGAGCCTGGCTTCTCGGACTGGGGGACCGTACCAGCCTGCTGAGGGTCCTATCGGAGACGCCACCCCGGGCCCGGTGTCCGAGGCGAGTCCCCGGCCCGGGGAGGCCCGGCCCCGGGAGCGGCCGACCACGGTCCGATCGTGCATGATAGCCCAGTCACCGTCCGTCGCCGGGAGAACCCCGGGCCCCGCTGTACGGTCACCGGGCAGGCTACCCGGTACTACCGTACGGTAGTACGACCGGTGCACTGGCACCGGGCCGCCGGGCCCGGCCCGGGCCGGGCGGCCCGGATCAGGCCCGGATCATGTGATAAGATGAGTGGGGAGGAGGGCGCGCACGTGAAGCGAGGAGTCCCAATGGCGGTAAGGCATGGGGGAAGGCGGGGGCTTGGGGGAAGGCGGGGGGTGGGGGGGGGGGGGGGGACAAGAGGCATGGAGATGAGAGACGAGTGAAAGAGCTTGTCCAAGAAGATGTCTTTCGATGCCCTTGGTTCGGGCTCCATCAGCAAAATGATGACAAACTTTTCGAGCCGAGCTGCGGCGAAGAGGCTTCGAATATAGTCATAGTTACACTGATCTTTGCTGATCCACCTAGAAAGCCCCCTGACAATTTGGTTTTGATCTTGTCACTGATATGAGATTGTTTTCAGATTTGACGTATTACACGCTGTTGGTAGGAAGCTTGTAAATAGCCGTGTACATAGTTGCCTTGTAGATTTTGAAAAGATATTTTTGAGGATCATAAACAATGCATTTCAAAAGTATGTTTTTTCCCATATATACATCAGTGCGTGTTGCCAGCTGATTTTCTCCACTTCCTCCCTTCGCAAGAATCCTTTCATCTACACGTCTCTCCTTGTGCACCGATCAACCAAAAAATATCACTAGACGACAGCACCATGTCTACACTGCAAGGTTGCCAAACTGCTGCAGCTCTTCGAGGTATTGGAAGCCTTTTAGCTGTACACAGCACGTTAACTCGAGACGCTTCCCATCTCTCTGCCCTCACCTTCTTCTGGTTGGCGATTGAGACGAAGTCAGGGTCCTGTCGGCCTCGGTCAGCTGGGCACGGCAGGCAAGCCCGCAAACCTTCTGCTCTTTGATCTTTGATTTGCTCTCCTTGACAACGTTCTTGATCCAACTGAGAGGGGGGGGGGGGATAATAATCAGTCCAGCACGCGCTCCTGCCCTCTCTCCATGACTCACTTGAGTCTCTCCCTCCTGCCTTGAGCGTCGAGCGTCGAGTCCTTGTGTACCAGCTCCTCCGCCAGCTGCGGGAGGCGTCAGAGGCGCCGAGATGCTGATCGTTTTCACCTGAGCGTTCACATTGATGCGGTCAAACACCTCTGTGAGGGAGGGCTCCTGCCGTGCCTTGCTGTGGGGGAGCGGAAATCCAGCAGACGTCGGGAGGTCGGAGGTGACGGGGTTTACAACGGGGGGATTGACAGCACCGTTGACATCGCGGGCAGCAGATGGACTTTCATCGGGCATGGGAGGGGCTGACGCACTTTAGAGGGTGAAAACAGTCAGGTGCTCCTCCAAAGGCTCAGAAAGAAATTTGGGAACCTGAGGAGTGTTTCTGGGCCAGGCACTGGATTGATCTAGGGTGAATCGCAAGTCAACGAATCGACAAAGATCTCGTTGGTAGATTTACCAATAGGTCGATCAGGTTGCCTTCAGCTGAAGTGTTGTTCTCTTCGGCTTTCGAATGTGAGTTTGAGGGGCTTGTATGATGCTTGCTTGAGGATTTTGCCGCATGTTTCTTCCGGGAGTAGTACCGCTGAACCACAAGGAATGTCACTATCAACATCATCCAAGGGGTCAAACATCACCTTCACTTCTCGTCTCAGCTTGTCGTTCAAGTCGATGAGCTGATTCATGTAGTCTTCAGCTGCGCAAGCATAAGATCATGACCCACAAGCAACAACATGAATACCTTTTGCATCATCACCGAGGATTTCGGCTTGTATCCATTCTATTGCAGCTGCACATCTCTGGCAACGGTACAAATAAGATCTTTTTCTAATCAAGATAATCAGCGGCATTTGAATACCTGCGCGATGATGTCTACAGTATCATCCAGAGCATGATCAGCAGAATGGTCGTCCTGTCTCCAAACAGTGACAAGGAAGACTCGATTGATTCTCATTCGTTCAATCTGAGCATACCAAGACTGATGCCATCAGGCCCAAAATTTCAGAAGCTTGGTCGAAAGTCATCTTTTGTACAGGCCTTTGAGCAGCAGCACCAAGATGTTGAACTGGTAGATCCAAAAAATCAATCACATGATAGGCCGGCATTTCTCTGCTTGCCTGCTTCAGGGCTGACACTGGGATTTCCTTGGGCCGCTTTCATTGCAGAGACGTCTACGTCGCAACACCGTAAGCGATGAGAAAGAATCAAAGATATCTCGAATGAGAAAATGAGCTTGATCACAAGACAGCAAGCATGGATGCCATGAATGTGTCCTAGACTCGATGAACAGTCCTCGGCTTGGAAACTGAGGAGGAGGAAGAGATGATAGCAGCGATGACACACAACGACGCACAGAAAGGAGAAGCGTCGGCGAGTTGGCTAGCGTCGAATTGTTGAGTAGGAGGCACAGTGGGAGATTGCTCTGTCACAGCGCATAAGCATAGCAAGGCCATTGAACGAGGGAATATTGCCAATGTAGCCTGACGCTATGGATGGGTTCATGGCTGGAGGAACAACACCGCCTGTTTCATCGTATCCAGTAAGATGCCATGGCAGTTTGTTGCATTCTATACCAGTCGCTCCAACCCATCCCAGAGCGCGAGCAGCCGATGCGAATTCCTGCAAGAACTCAGATCCAAAGTATAGAGAGAGATAGGCGAAGACCGTTGCCTCGGCTCCATACTTCTCGGCCCAATCGACTATCAGCTTCTTGGACAGATCACAGATCTAAAAAGGGGCCGTCAACAACATCTGCTGCACTGAAACCAAGTCACCGTCTTCGGGTATTTGAACTTCGGCTGAGCAAACTTGAGCACTCGTGAGAGAACCTGGGAGGTGCATAAGTAGACAATAGATCAGTGAGCTATCAGTCTATGAGATTGGTGAGGAGGTCGGAAACAAGGTTGAAGGCGAAGAGACGGCTATCGCAATGCAGGCTTCTTTTCACCTTTCTATGTACTTCAACTCTGAATGTTCTTCCGAATTTTGACATGCAGAAATTCAGAAACTCCAACCCGCTTTTCTAATCGCCACGTCAGACCATGTTGGAATCGTCGTTAGTCAAATCAACCTGTACCATTGGCTCGAAATCTTTTATCCTACATTTCATATGCTTCAAGCACTCAGCGATGCTATCAGGTCAAAGGGGACACAAGGGTCAGCGCCTAGTCTGCAGCAGACAACACTCACTATTTCTGTTCTTCCATGTATGGCTCCATTTCCAGCAGAGCAACCTCTATCACATCTCTCCCTACGCCAGGCGTGCAAGCACGAAGCACCTGGTGGAGCCTTCAATGAGGACAACAAACATGTCACAAGCTCACAGCCGACGAGATGCAGGTGTATGGGTCCGTAGACGTTCCGTGTTCGTTCGCTCTGGGGGCTCCAAATAGCCACATGCTTCTTCGGGGTAGTGTGATCTGGCTTGCCTATTCGTGCATGCTTCTCAACCTGACCAGAGGATCTTCAACAAGTCAGCTTTACGGTTCAACCTCAAATCATCTGCTCTGGCGATAAGACATATCTCTACACCCTCGATCGTAGAGGGCAACCATGATTCTTCTGAGCATCTAGACTACACGGCAGGAATCCCCGAACCAATTCAAGTTCTACTTCAGATTCACATACAGCTCACCGATCGATTTGACGACCATAACAACGGCTCGATCAACAACTCTCACAACATGGCACACATCAAAGTTTCGCTATTCCATCTCCACTCTTCCATCTTCGCTCCTCCCTGCATGTTTCTCCTCCACATTCATCATCAGAGCTGTTTCTGACATGACCAGCCATCAACCCCTACCCAGCACCCCCACACTCAATCCCTTTCGAAGACCCCCACCCCCAATTTCTCTGGTTTTGCAATAGCTATCCCACCCACCTTTTCCTGATGGTTTCTCGTACCACCTACCCTTTTCATCCCCGCCTGTACCCTTTTGTTCGTCCAAATCCTTTTAGGACCCTTTGTGTACCCCTACCGACTACGGTATAGCTGGACGAAGTCTACTTACACCCCTTTATTTCTCGTTCAAAGTACCCCTACTTCTATCACCTTACCCACTACACCTCCAACGCATTTAACCCCCACCCCTCATCTCCCCAACACTGATCACCCCCACCCACCTGTAAGCTACACCATGGTTCACTTTTGGTGGTACCGGAGTGGTACGACCGGCCAACAGGCCCGGCCGATCCGACCGACGTAGTGGGGGATGATGGTAGACCACTTCCCAATTTAGTAGTGGACAGCAGGAAGAGAACGAATATTAAACACTGTTTAGTCTATAATTTAAATGTATTTTAAGTACAAATATTGGTATGTATTTATTTTATTATATTTATATAACAATCTATCCGTACTACATGCGGTATGACCCCCGCATATGAATGTCTCCGTTGAGCATACGGGTAGTGGTGATAGGGGTGGAGTCGTTCCGCACCAGTTTGCGAAAAATGTTTGCTACCATCCGGATGGCCACGATGCTGGCGAGGAGCCTTGACCCCTCAGTGGCAGCGCAGGACATCATCTCAGGGGTCTCAGGAAACTACGAGAAGAGCATGGAGGATTCAGCCGCTGCTGCTAAGGACATGTCAAGGAACACCAACTCCGATTACAGGTGAGAGATATTGGTGTGGAATGGTTACATGTCGCTCAGTGCTATAGAAAAAATGCATTCTGGTTATGCGATCAACCCCGAAACCTTTCATCGTTCTTCCTCTCTACTTCTTCATTTGCTTGTTGTCGATAGGCAGGGATGGCCTCTGCTTGCCTCTGACTCCCGCTCGTGTAGGGGCATTGCTTCGGACATCATTGGCACTGCCTACATCAACGTCGTGGACGTTACAGGAAAAGTTGGGGCTGACGGGAAGCCTATCTCTCATGGCATGTACGAGGACCCGCGCATGAACTGCCCAGACGGCATTGGATGCGCCAACGCCTAAATCATGGCAAGATCAAGATTTGACAACTTGAAAGTTGTCCAAGGCGTTACATAGCAACAGGCTTCGTTGGATGACTGGATCTCCTACTTTTTGAGGCCTCTGTGATGGCGATCCATCCTTTTGTTTTTCGTTCTCAGCCCGCATTAAAACTGTTACAGTAACTGGATCGATACCTCAAAAGAGAGCGAATAGCTGAGATCATGCCATGCGCCGTTTTGGAACTGAAGTGGGTGCAGAGGTGTCAATACGATGCAGGTATAGGCAAGTAGGCTGGATACTGATAACCTGACTCAATGCGTAACCGGAAGCAATTCTCTGAACTTTTCACTGAACTTTTCAAACAACTTAGGGCAAACGGTACAGCGGCTGGAAAACGTTGGAGGCGGGGGTTGGGGGATGGAAGACCAGGGATGAGAATCATACGGGTAGGTTAGCTGAGGAAAGCATCATATGGCATGTCAGGAACCTTGTGTGCATGATTTCATTCATACTTTGAGATCCATAGAGGTTGACCCGATATGTGATATCGCTTGTTCCGAACTCGGAAAAGCGCTGTATCGCCAGGCACCATAATGATCTTGACCATGACATGTCCTACACATTTGTGTGCATGAGGTAGTGATGCAATTTGAAAGCGTTTGAAGTGAAACTTTCAATGTCTCCGTTGCAGTAGTGAAGGTAGATCTCCGCGAGCACCTCAATCGAGGGTTTCACGGCACCTTCCCTCTTCCATGTGCAGAGATCCTCTGGAAACATGGCGATTCGCTTGAGGATGGGGAGGGGAAGAAGTCCTCCTGTCGCAACGTTGATGATGCTGGTCCGATAATCCTTGAGAGGATGCTTTCTCACTCCTGAGTTTGTGTACTTGACACTTGCTTCGCCCTCGTTTGGAGAAGCAACAATCAGCATGAGCACAGTCTTGACATCCACTAAGGCCCGGTTCTGGATCTTGAATCTATCGCACATCTCTCTTCGAGCAGCGCCGCCGATGCCCAGCTCGTTACAAACCTTGTCCAACGAGAAACATTCTGGTTCTTCCCAGTGCCTCGAAGCGTCAAGGAGCCGGCGTATCCCAATGTGCATACGGTTATCCTGCATCCCTATCTTCTCGGCAAACATCTCGCCCTTGAGCTCGTAGATCTTCCTCATCTCAGCAGTCGGCAAAGGGATCCTGGGGTCCGTTTCCAGCGTAATCGACATTTTGCTGCTGAAAAGTGTCCGGCGACTCTGATTTGAGTTCGCCGCTACTGCGACGCCTCAATTACAGGCTGCGGCGCCAAGGGCCTGTCAAATTTCGTATTTGAAAATTTGACTGTCCCCGTTCAGATCGAAACGGCGTGACTGCCGCCGAATCGGCCCGGCCCCAGTGCCCTGAGGATTGATGCCCCCTTCAGTGAGTCTGCCGCAGTGCACCGTGATTGAACTCGGGGCCATTAGACCGCGCAGTGCGGCGTGGGCTCGTCGAGTCGTGACTCGGTGCCCCCGTGACCGGACCGTGCTGTCGGACCGTCTCCGATGCTCAGGCTCCGTTGCAAGCCTCCCGGCCCAGTCCCGGCGGGTGTCACTGCCGTGTCACGGAGTCCTGTGACGGAGGTGCCCGGCTGAGGGCCGGGCACTCCCGGCCACAGCTTGCGGCTGCCAGGCTGAGCGTTACCGAGTCGGAGCTTTACTCAAAGTTAAGTTAAAATCAGTACGAGGACAATCAGGAGAGTCGAGGAGGCTTGACCCTGACACTGTCGCACAGGCCAAACGGCGAGAAGAGAAAAGACAGCGAGAACCAAACCCAATCCTGCCGACTGCTGTCCCCCAAACTTAACTTAGTCGGACGGTCGGAGCCGGACGGCGCGGCCGGGAGGAAGCCTGCCGGGCCTTCGGAACTTCCGGTCGGAGCCTTTTTCTGACCGCTCTATGGGTTCACTCTTTGTTGCTACCACCCTACCTCTCCGCGTGAGCTTTCCAACGCTACCCCCTGCTTTTATAACCCACCCCTACATCACCCAATGCTGCTCAGTATCTTTTAGGGGACAAAATTGTGCATTTTGTACCCTACCCCCTGAGACTCTAGATCAAACCACCCCCGATGAGATTCAAGTACCCCCCTCTAGCTGATCTGAGGCGGGTCAGTGCGGCTGGCGTGAAGAGACGCGATGGCAGCAATGCAGGGCGGAGACGGCGAGGCAAAAGGAGAGTGAGAGGGGAGGAGAAGAAGAAGTCATCAGGAGAGGACCCTGCTCTTGCTGTGAAGGCATGCCTTCTGCCTGACGGTCGTGAGGAGGAGTCAGGGACGCCTTGACGTCTTGGGCTTTGCACGCCTGACAGGATGCCTTCATTTGACCCTATCCCGGGATACGCTGATCTTTGTCAGAAGTTCCAGATCGACAACGATGCGCGGGATTGTGCCTGGAACATCATCACGACGGTCTGGGAGACCCGTGGAATGATGTCGAACCACTCAGATGGCGCAAACAACTTGCTCGTTCAGGTGGTTCACGATGGCATCCATAGTGACTCGACAGTTTTTCAGAACGAGATCAGCACCATTGTCAACAAGGTCTATAAGAAGGAGTACTACGGCCAGCCTGCCGATTTCTTTCTCTCCTCTGTCAAGATCATCTTCTATACTCAGAAGATGGTGGTGCTTCCGACCTATATCGGAGAAGTCAACCTGGGCGTTTTGGATATCTATCTCGCAGAAGGACACATGATTCCGATGCAATGGTTCCCGATTGTGAACCCAAACTCTGATCTGCCAGCAGAGCCACTGGGCTTCGTCAAGTTGAACTGCGTCATTAACACTCTCCTGGAGAAGGGAGCTGTGCAGAAACGCGCCCCTGACGCGCTTGCGGACTGGGACCTGCGCCGAGAGCCACCGAGGATTCTTCAGATCCCCAGGCTCAACCTGAGGAAGGTTGCTCCTCATCAGTACAACATCAAGTTCAACTTCTACAAAGGGTTTGACCTTCCTTTCTCCACAGGGCGTTTCTCTGCCGACCCAGGTGTTCGGGTGATAACAGCTTGCGGTGTGGTCAAAGGCGACCCGCAGGCTAACACGATCCGGCCAAACTGGAATGTCCTGATACAGGCACCCTTCTACGAGCCGAACTATCACGACTTGATTTTTTGCCAAGTGGTCTGTGCAACTTCCAAACAAGTTCTGTCACAGTTGGTGCTGAGTTGGAAAGAATTGGTTTGTAACCAAGACAGGTTTCGTGCTCCGCGATGGATTGACATCTATCAACGAGAATCTAACGCCTTTGACCGACTTTTTACTGTTCCGGGAACTTTGACTGGGGTAGATCAGACGCCCTCTCAGTTCCTGGAGCAAATCTCGGCCACCAGCCAATACAAGGGTTACTCTTCTCCAATCAATTACGGAGGAAGAGTTCTGCTTGGGATCGAATTGGAGCCTCGAAAGTTTGAAACTGGTGAGCCATCTCCTGCCAACATTGCTTTGAAGCCCAAGGACTGTGAAGACAAATGGTCAGATCCATACCAAAAGTGCATGTTCAGGTTTCAGATTTTCTATGGTGAGGGTTTGAACATCACTGGAAGCCTGTCTGCTGTCACCGTTGAGTTCTGTATTGGAAGAAAGTCTGTGCAGTGCAAACCAGCAGCAAAAGCTGACAACGGCACGTTCGAGTTCTATGCTGCAGTGGAGCTAGAGTGCGACTTTCCCTTTGACGACTTGAGAGACAATCCCGATGGTCTGCCTGGAAAACTCAGCACTGGATCGGGAACATGGAATCCTGCACACTTTGTCAGGAATCTGCCAGACTGTGTCGTCAAAGTCTACAGGACGGATCCAATGGGAGTAGGTATATTCCAGGAGCTCATCGGCTTTTGGCGTGGGTCGGTCATATCCGTTCTCCTTGGAAGAGGGGACGATTGGGCAGACATCCAAGATACTGTGTTCGTGGGCATGTCAAAGTTTGACAACGGAACTGGCGAGACGTACATGGGTGTTGAGTCGATCATGCTGAATGCTGGAGATTCAGCCCCTAGCCCATCGAAGAAGGTCCCTTGGGGAAACGAGTTTCTTCCAGATAGCAGGAAAATCATGCACCCGTACCTTGGGTTCCAAATCAGAGAACTCCAGAGAGACGCTAGTTGCAAGATTGCCAAAGAGGAACACGCAGGATTTCTTGCGTTCTCAGCCAAGCTGTGGTTGCCGACAAGGGAAAAATGCGCAAATGCCCCGCCGTTCGGATCTGGCCCCCCCATCTTGAGCCCTTGGAAGGTTATGAGTGTTGTTTGATGGCTCGAATTTTTCTGATGCGTTTCTCTCCCTTGCAACAGGAATGGAACAGGATTCCAATCCCCAAGCCAACTTCAGACCTGCTGCACTGGTATGCAGGTTTCACGATCAGGGCGCACGTGTACCAGGCAAAGCAGTTGCAAGGAAAGGCTGAGAGCGGAGTCGCCAGCTCGTTCGTCCGGCTACGATATGCCAACTATCCGGTTGCTAACTCAGACACGGTGCACTTGACAAACAACCCGACGTATGACACGACCTTGACTCTCTCTGACCTTGAGATGATTCTACTTCCCAACGTTCATGTACGTTGAGGTTACAGCAGATTTCGAGCGTGTGACTTAGTGGTTCAGGAGCAAGATTCTAGCGTGGAGGACTACATGGTGGATGCAGAGGTAGAAGAGTACTGTAAGACTAAGAAGGAGACCCTGATGGCTATGATCCAGGATTTGAGCGAGGTTGACGACAACCTTACGATGTTGAGGATCGCTCAGAGGTGAGGCATACCTTTCGAGATTGACTGGGTGATTTGAAGTCGACAGGATTGAGCTGTCGGTATGGGAAGAGATCCCAATGCCCTTCGGCAAATCAACCCGAATGATCGGAAGGACTTTCATTGACCCGGAGCAATGTTTGACTCGCAAGGTATCGAAGTTCGGTACGAGTGTCACGCGGTTAGCTGACGAGTCCTCCCCTTCAGACCAATCCAGAGTGGAGGCACTTGTTCGATGGCGATCCGGCCGTCGAGCTGGGCTACATCTTGTGCTCCTTCCAGGTGACCGCTGAGCTGAGCTGATCAGCCGCGACGTCACTTGTCAACGGCGAGGTATTGAGACTTTACCAGGTCATCCATTGCGACGAGAGAATCCTCAAGGAGGTTCCGCTGCCTCTCGTCCCCGACAAGTCAGCCCCTCCCTAGCGGTCTCCTGCTGCCCCTGAGCTGGACGCAGGTCGTCGGTGACCCGGGCCACCCCCACTGACAAGGCTCCCATCACCTATGTGGAGATGAGGGAGTCAAAGATTCAGATCCAAGTGAGACCGAAGCGCCTGAGGCGAGCCTGTCCCTGACGTCTCTCCAGGTGCTGGGGCTGAGAGACTTGACGGACCCAATGCCTCCGATCATGAAGGTCAAGAAACCGTTTGTGGAGATCTCTTGTGATGACCCCAAGACTGCTGTCCAAGTGAAGGTGCGCTGGTGACTAGGGGAGTGGAAGGTTGTGATGCTCGTGTAGCCGACGGACAGGCCCAGCCCGAACAACGCCAACTTCATGGAATGCCTCGAGATTGATATACTCTTGCCCAAGGACGTCAACTACGCGGTACGGGGATGAGATGAGCTTTCGATTAACTTTTGACATCAAATCTTGTACTTTCTTCGTTTTCATCCCCTTTGTTTACCCTTCTTTCTCGCTCCCTTTCGTCTCTGTTCTTCTGCACTCCTTCTCTGCTCTGCTTTCCCCTCCTGTCCTGTCCTGTCCTGTCCTGTCCTCGCCTCACGTCCTCCTTTCTGTGTACTCCAGCCGTGGTTGGACTTCTACATCTACGACGAGCCTCTCCTCCCCCTCGGTCCCTGCATCATAGCGTACGGGAATGTTCCTGTTTCAGATTTCTACCTGGATGAAGCCGAAGATCTCGACAACTTGGAGGAGGTAGGGGACAGTTGCGTGCAGAGACACATGCTCTGAATACTTTGCAGAATGAGAATGAGGACGAGGATGCCAAGGCCAAGAGGATTGCGGCAGAGAAACGGAAGCAATTCTACACCTTCACGAAAGATCTTCAGAAGGTTTGTATCCTGCAGCTTCGAATGCCTGTCATTGGCCAGACACTTCTCACGTCTGCGATCAGGCCGGGACTGTGACACAGCGTCAGAGGAAGACCTTGGAAGCTTTCTGGGAGAAGAAGGATGAAGCTGTAAGCACAAACCTTTCAACGTTGACTTGTCAATGTTGACCATCCTCCCTTCCGTCAGGTTCAGCGCGCTTTCGATCAGCACCTGGAGGCACCGGACCCCAAGAAGTTCTCAGATCGAATCTTCCAGTACCTGACAGACAAAGTTGTCAAGTCCGAGGACGACAGCGCAAAGAAGGAGGCCGTAAAGGCAGCCAAGGGCAAGAAGGGGGACAAGGGGAAGAAGAAGTCGTCGGTAGGTCTTCGATTCGCATCTTGTCAGATTGGTGACGGAGGGCACAGGCTGGAGACGCAGCAGCGGAGGTGCAGGCTGTGGAGGAGGTTGCAGGTGAGATGGTCGGAACGAGCAAGAGGGAAGGCTGAGACGAGCGCAGATCAAGGCGGCCAGCTGGACTACGTTGACTTGACTGCGCTGGTGGATGGAGATCGAGTCTCTGACAACGGAGAGGATGCGGTGCTGTCGCATCCCTGGTGAACCAGCCCCTCCCCTTACACTTGAAGCAGGATGTGCAAGATGGGAAAAAGCAAGACGATGCGGAGGCAGAGGGGGACGATGATCATGCAGATGCCCTTCTGGATGAAGATGACATCTTGCCGGATCAACAAGAGGTACGTCTCCGTTGCCAGCAGGAGGAGAGTCGCATGCTGAGCGCGTTCTAGAATGTCGACACGGCAGACGGGAAGCCGAACACGGAGTGGATGCTTCTCAGAGCTCACAAGTCCTACGATGTTCCTCTAGAGGTCGTCGGCTTGCTGGCCGTCAAAGCTTCCTCTCAATCCTTCGATGCAGGAGGAGCCGACCATGTGGCAAGAAAAGTTTGACCCGACCTTCGACGAGGCGACTTTTCCTGCCTGCTGTGCGTGGAGCACTGACGAGCGAGCAGGTCAAGCTCTTTCGAGGACCGATCAAGAACTTCAAGCAGAAAGAGGCGGAGGTCCGGCTATAGCCCAGTTGATCTCAGTCGCTGATCGCAGTCGCGCAGGTGGTGGGGATCTTGAAGTGTAAGGTCAAAGTGTACGAGAAGCAAGTGCTCACGGAGGAACAGCTTGCCAAGGGTCTGGAGCCCCAGTAAGGAACCACCTGCTAGAGCTGCTGGTCTAACCCCCTCCTCAGATTCCTGGACCTGAAGGAGCTCAAGGAGGGACGGGAGGTCCGGCTCGCTGCCTTCTTCTGTTGGACTTACCTGACATGCCTCAGGTGCCGTATGAGATGCCGGACATCAACGAAAACTTTCCGAGCCAGGACGTGGAGATTCGTGTTTACCTGCTCAGAGCTTTCCAGATCACTCCTGTTCACAATGACCTGATTTCTATTCACAAGAACACTGTCAGGTCGGAGACTGTCTTGCTTTCCTGCTTCTACTGTGTCTTCCCCCTTCTCTTCTCTTCCCCTCCTCCCTCCCCTCGCTCTCTCCTGACATCTGAAGCTGAAGTGAACTTCTTCTTCCAGGATCACCTTGGGCAACAAGACATGGAAGTGGGAGCAAGACCATGACCTCATCAGCGCAATAAACCCTCAGTTCTATCGCTGTGCCGTCCTCAAATCACCCCTTCCTGGCCCCTCTCAGGTCCGACCTTGTCGCCGCTCCTCCCGCCTCCTACTGATTGTGGGATGTTGCAGATGAAGATTTCTCTAGTCCACCTCAAGGACGGCTGGATGCCAGGTGAGCCGACGTGTTTGAGTGTCCTTCACACGTGAACTTTGAGCTGCAGGAGAAGAAGTGATCGGAGAGACTGTGAGTGGAGGAGAATGGGGGCGGGGATACTTCTGGCTGCCCGGCTGGGTGTGACGTCATTAATCAGATCATCGACCTTGAGGACAGATGGTTCTGCGCAGAGTGGAGGGAGGAGACGATCCACAAGCCGGTACTCCTTCCCGTCGGCGGTGAACGCTCTTCTGATATGCCTGGACCAGAGAGAAGTCCGAGATCTGTACAGGAAGAACAAGCCAGGTGGGCTGACTGCCGTGTAGGAGGAGGTTGTGACAGGCCCTCAGGCATCAGTGTCGGCAAACTTCAGCTCTTCCTGGATGCGAAGCCTGTTGTGGAGGCCCCAGACTGGCCGATCAAGGTTGAGGACGAGGAGGGAGGAAAAGGAGGTTGACCCGTCGGGCAGGACATCAACATCTCAGGGCGTCAGATGCCGCTCGAGATGCGAATGATTGTCTGGAACCTCATGCGGGTAGCTCCCATGTCCGGGTGAGACGGTCGAGACTTGTGCTGTGGGGCTGCTGAACTCGAGCTGGGGTTAGCTACACGTCAAATGTCATCGTGTTTGCCGAGCTGATCGGCTGGGGGAGGGCGAAGGAGACGGACACGGACTTGCTGGTGAAGGTACGTTGCCGCCATCAGTCGCGGAGAGGGATGGAGGGGAGGATGGCGGAAGAGGATGTGATGGGTGCAGAGGGTGAGCGAGGTAGGAGGCAAGTTGTCCATAGGGATGCTGAAAGACAGGAAGGAGCGAATGAAGCAAGCGAGAGAGAGAGTTTCTGCTGACGTCGGGTGGACGCAGGTGTCTAGGAAGGCCATGTTCAACTACCGTTTGAAGTTCAAGGGGATCAAATATCCTTCACCCGACCCAACGTTCCCTGTCAAAGACTTCCTCCTTCGCATCTCGGTGCCTCCGCTGCCCCGCGGCCCTCGCGCTGCTTCGCTCACTCTCTTGGCAGGTGTTCCACGAGGACATGCTGGGAGTTCAAAACAATAAGCTGATCGCTGAGGGCATCCTTCCTCTTGGGGTGAGAGGAGGGAGCGAAGGGATGGGGACGAGGAGAGACGAAGGGTATGAGGGAGAGCACGTAGGGAAGGAAGAGGATGAAGAGGAGGACAGGGGAAGAGGAAAGGACATGGGAAGGGGGAGGAGAAGGGGGAGGGGAAGTGGATCAAGAAGGACAACGGAGGGGGGGAAAGATCGGATCTGATCGGAGTCTGCAGGAGATTTTCCGCGATTGCATGCAAAGGAACTTGGGCAAGTCATCCCCCGACGACATGGAGGTCTTCCCAGCTGATCCCTAGCTCCCCTCTCCCCCTCCCTCCTCACCGGGGCTTCGCAGATCGTGTCTCTAGAGCCCGAGAACGCCGGCGATCTGGAGATGGACGAGGAGGGAACCAAGTATCCCTTCCGCTGGTACAAACTGTGCCATCCTGGTGGGCCCGGAAGATATGCCCACAAGAACTTCACCAAGGTGCGTTCCCCTTCCCCCCGCATCCTGTCCCCTCTACCGTCCATTCCTCTCTCCTGTCCTTCTCTCCCTACCCGGCTCGCCTTTCCTCCCCTCCTCTCTCGTCTGCTGCCTTTCCCCTCTCCTGCTTTCTCCTCTAGCACATTTCCTTGCTTCCTTGTACCTCCGTGTACCTCCTCCTCCTTCGCCTGCCCCTTCCTCAACCTGCTCGCCTCGCAGGTCGGCTACGACTTCGAGAAGAACGCTCAGGCCAGCATTCAGCTGACCATCCAGGTGGGACTGCAGCTGGGAAGTTGCTGGACTGAGATCTCCTGCAGGTCATGCCGCGAGCCAAGGCAAGAGCGAACCCAGCAATGCTCGGATTCCGAGCGGGCCCGGCGAAACTCAAAGACCCCAACCGCCCTCCCCAGCCTGCCAACCCTCTCTTCTACCCTGACCAGTGCGCTCTTGCCTCTCTCCTCCTCCTCCCCTCTCTTACCCTCTCCCCTCGCCTCCTCTCTTTCTCACTGCCCTCCATCATCCCTCCCTCCTTCACTCAACTGTCCTTCGGCCCCTCCACTCCTTCCCTACCCCCATTTCTCTCGTACTGACAAGCGAGTGCAGGTGCGCCGCGTACATCGCGTACGTCTGCAAGGAGGCGATCAACAACAAGAAGCCATGCTGCATCTGCCTCTGCTGCGTCATCCTCATTGTCGCCGTCGTCATCGGCTACGCCTACCTCATGCAGATCGGAATCGTGCCCCCACTTTGAATGAAGCCACAAGCGACTCTGGCATCCAAGACCAACACGACTGCTTTGATCTTCATACTTCCACCTTAATTCATACACCAGCTCCTCCTCGCACACCCGCTCCTATTACTCCTCCTCAGTATCTCGCCGAGGCTTTCCCGACTCAATCCTCTACTCCCCTATTCTACAGCTCCTGATCTACCATCGTCGTCATCTCAGCACTGACATTCTTCGATTCAGCTGACAACATATCGTTCCTCCCCCTCCCTCATGTCAGTTCACCATCACTACCAGCCCAGCTAGTTCACCAGCTGCTGCTGCTGCCACTGATGTGCTGCTGATGTGCTGCTGATGTCATTGCTGATGTGGCTGATGTGTCGTATCCGGTCCACCATCTGTCCCGTCTCAGATTGTCAAATTGAAATAAGTTTGACTAGCTTCAGTTCGGTCGTATGAACCTCTTTCCCGCCCTTTGACCTGCCCCCCTTATCTTGATCCTACTCCCCTTCCTCCTCTCTCTCTCTCTCTCTCTCTCTCTCTCCTCCTCTCTCTCTCTCACTCCCTCTCTCTCTCTCCTCCTCTCTCTTCTCCTCTTCCCCCCTCCTCC